ACACGCTGCGTTCTCACTCGATCTCATCATGAGGCGCTAAACACGCAGGGATGGGCATGGAGGTGGTGCAGTGCTGCCCACATGAGGGTTAATAACGCGGCTCAGGGTTTATATGCCCGTGTGATAGAGCGTATCTCGGACAGAGGAATGCCGCAAGCATCTGCAGGTTTATAACGATAGCGTTAACAGCAGGCTTCTGCAGGGAAGCCTGCGTCACTTAATCAACAGATTAGTGTCAGCGGCGCTTATACCAGCTCGCTCCTCGTAAGCCCTCGCGGAGGACAGGAGGCGGGGGAGCTCACTCCCTTTGACTCGCGCGGGAGCCCTGTCTTTCTGGGGGAGCGGAGACGTGGGACAAGCCCTGCAGCCGCGAGGGCGAGTCTGACGCGAGGCAGTGCGGTGGCGTCTCTCCGCTTGCGGCCTCTGTGGCGCTGTGGACGCCGCGGCTGTGCCCGGCGTGGTGCCTGCCTGTGGCGCTCAGCAGGTGGAGCCGCTGACATGCTGGCGGAATGCCGTCCGCCTGTTCCGCGGCCGTCTTCATGACCCACCTGGCGTTGGAACTGGGGTCCTAACAGCGTACGGCTGATTGAGCGTCCAGTAGCATTTCTGGCCTCTCATAACGGACGCTCTGCTTCAGTGCGCGGGATCTGTGTCACCCACGGAAACCTCGGCCTGGGAGACCAGCGACGACGCGCACAGAGAGCGCCCGTGCTTGCGGCCTTTGCTGAGTTCCTGCCTCGGGTGTGGACCGCTCTACCAGTGTCTTCCACCGAGGTTTGGAGAGCAGCGCGATGATATATTCGCCGCGCGCCTGAAAGCTACACCGTGCCACCCGGTCGAGCTCAGGCTAGGGGGCGCCGTCTCTGGGCGACGAGAAGGGGACCGAGCTCGGCGCCAAACCAGCCCTGCTCCGACTCTGGTCTCCCCGTCCGGGGAGAGAGAGGAGGGAGAACGCACGGTGAACCGATGGAGGGAGGTCGTCCGACTCGCTGGCCGGCACTCGGCTCCAGGCACATGGCGCCGTTCACACGTGCTGACGGGCCAAGCGTCCTCGTCGCGCAGCAGCTAGAGCGTCCGCTCTTTCGCTTCCTGTCGGGGGCTGATGGGGAGACGGGCACATGTGAGCAAGCGACCTGCTGGCTGAGAGCCGAGTCCGCGTGCTCTGGCCCCAGGCAGGATTCGCACACTGCGTGCGTGTCATAGCTCATGATATATCCTGAGCCACATGAGGGACAATTTCGGACGCAGTTGTTGCTCATGATGTTTAATGGTTCTGTGCTTCAGTAACTGCCGAGGTTTGCTGAAGAAAAGAGGGAGCAGATGGCCGGGCCTCCTTCCTATTTATACCCGAAGGAGGCCCGAGGGCGGGGCCCACCTTGCGGGTGGGCGTGGACTACAAGTGTTTCAGTGCTGCGCGGGTGCGCAGGGGGATTACCCAATAGCGATAGCCTTAGAGGGCGAAGCCATATACGAAATAGAAGGAGGCAATTAACAGTGATTCACCCTTTTTGTTTTTGTGTGGGATAATTAAATTGACTTGACATTTGTTCTTATTCAATTTGGGATATTTAGAGGGGCCCTTTTTATGCTCATTTTCATAATTGTATGTTATGCCTCTACTGTGACATGTTGACATGCTTTCAATGTTCAAAAACACATTACAGGAAAGGAAAAAGCACATCAGGGCCCCTTTAAGCCAATGATGCGTGCATTAGTTAATTATAGAAATAGATAGAAACCATTTTGTGATCTACGTCTGGAACATTTTGCATTGTGTTTTCTTGTTTGTTTATCTGGACAGACGGCAGACCAGCGCCTCTACTGAAGGGACAGCTGAGAAGGAAGCAGGAGAGGGAAGTTTTAGCAGTGAGTATCAACACGTTTGTCTTTTCTGTAGCATATCTCCTATTTATCTTTCTGTGTCACCTTTTGCCTCTAACCTTGGTGTTTGTTTCTCACAGAGACGTATCGTGATGCTGAGCTCAGAGGTGGACAAAGGGATTGAGTCGTGGAATGATAAACAGGAACAAGCCCAAAGAATGGAGGAGCACAAAAAGTCTCTATTACTGAAACCTAAAGGGATGATGTTAATAAAGAACAAATCAAATAGTTAAAAACACTATCAGCTTGCCAAGTCCTTACTCTGAATAATCTCAGTGTATTGAATATACTCAAGGACTTCCTCATGCTTTACGATTTGTGTTTTTCATGGATTTCTGCAATAAATGTTCTGATTTATACTTTAAATATTACTCTGTTATTTGATCTTTTTTGAATTAGAGTTAATGTCCCTCAGCTTCCACTAGAATGCAGCATTTCTCCTTCCTCTATTCACTTTCCAGGCTCACGCGCCATTTTGTCTGGTGTTTGGATCAGAGGAGTTTTATTGGGCTGGTGGAGGAAGGGAGGAGCAGGGGGGGGACATAAAGTCACTCTGATTTAAGACCTTTCCATATGTGATTTAAAGAGAGAGGGGTTCACACCTTGGCTTGCTGTAGTAACTCAGTGTTATAACTCTAAATACATGACCAATGTGTGATTAATACCACCATGTGAAGCGACTTCAAGTGTATGTGGAGAACCCATAAAAAGAAAATCACCAGACTGTTTTAGTTTCGAGTAGGGCTGCTCGATTATGGCAAAAATCATAATCTCGATTATTTGGGTCAATAATTGATATCACGATTATTAAAAACGATTATCCATTTACTTTGAAAACATCCATTTATTGGAAAAAAAATGTGAACAGTATGTTTTTAACAGTTGATTACCCTGAACTTTAAGTATAATTCAACTGAAAAACCAATACAAAAAAAAGAAAAAAATAGAAAAATAAAAAAATAATAATAAAAAAATTATCGTTTTATTTAGATTACGTTGTTTTCGTAATCGTTGCAAGTCATAATCGTAATTGCGATTCAAATATGATTAATTGAGCAGCCCTGGTTTCGAGGCAACATCTTGACCATATTCGCCTTAATAGCATCGTATTTTTACTGGGGCATCTCTACCAACACACAGGGGGAGGAGAAGTGGATTTTGCATGTGCCGTTCTGCAGCCTGGTGTCTGGAAAGATGATCATCCGGCTGCAGCCAAGTTGGCACAACGTTGCATCCTTTAAAAAGCAATATGTTCTGGTATAAAGTCAAATGTTTGCCTTGGCGAATGCTTAATCAAGCTGTAGAACACACTGTAAAGCAGGAAGCATACATCAGCTGGGAACAATTGCATTTCTTTTTCTTTAAAGTCTATTTGGGTAGGGGACTCCTTTTTTAAAACCACACTGGTGACATTTTGCAGTGACTCTGAGCAGCTGTGCCTTTGTAAAGTAAGCACTCATTTAGTTTGACTTATAAACAGACTATTTACAAAATGAGGTAACCTCCACTCTTGCTTTCTGCTCCCTTCCTCCTGGCTTTTCTCTCTCCCTCCATCTGCCTCTTTCCCTCCTCTCCCTCTTTGTCTTGTTGCAGACTTCAGCAAAGCCCCACTGTAATTAGGGTGCTAGCCGCTGACTTGCAGATTCTTTTCTGTGGAGATGGGAGTTTTTCTCCCCCCCCTCCTCTTTTTGTCTTAACTTTTTTCATACAGTTGACCAAAGGCGCTGACTGTTTGTTGTGTTGGAGAAGTGTTGGCGGACATTGACCAGGCCACAGTGGGTGTTAAAGAAATCTAAAAAAGAGTGGTTAACATGGCGACATTTTCCATTCCCGTGCACATCCTCACACCTGCACCATCAAAGACCTCCATCTGCACCCACAGTGAGAAATGTGACTCCTCATTCTTGATTTTTTTTTTTACATCCTGCTTTTTCTGTGAATGTCTTTTCTCCTCGACAACCTCCCCTCCGACTCCTCCCTTCTCCCCCCTTCCTCTGCTCCTCGTGTTGTTTTGGTTTTTGGGAAATGAGAACCAGATGTTGCTTATTGTGCAGAAGTCAGCAGTGGTGTGAAGTAATTAAGTACATTTACTCAAGTAGCCTACTGTAGGCTACTTAAAGGTGGGGTAGGTACGTTTGAGAAACCGGCTCGAGATACACTTTTTGTTATATTCCATGGAATGCTCTTAACATCCCGATAGCAATGAATATAAATATTCATATAAGTGCTTTGACAACAAATCCATAAAAAAATGTCATCTGTGGAGTACTGTAAAAAGCACGACCAATCATCTGAGCCGGCCCGGCTAAAATAACTGGATGGCCTACCTGCCTGTCAGCCTTCCATCTGTGCACAAACTTATCTCCTGCCCTCATTGGTCATGTGCGCGTTCGTGTGTGTTGGAGGATGGGCTCTGTAAGGAAGTGGCACATTTTCTCCGGTTGTGTATTTTCAAATTCTAGCGCACTCGAGCTGGTTTCTCCGAAATTACCTACCCCACCTTTAAGCACAATTTTGATAGACCATTTTTTTCTACTTTGATCTTCTACTCCACTACAATTCAGAGGTGAATAGTGTACTTTTACTCCTCTACATGTATTTCATACCTTTAGTTACTTTAAATATTTTGTTTGATAATGTCAAATATAATCAACACTTAAATCAGACTTTAGTTCCACCTGGAGTAAATCAAAAGTTACCCTGCAGTATACAAAGTCATTCAAACTAGCTGCACATTTACCAGCTTTGAGAACACTTTAATGATCAATCATTATAAAACATATCACATATATTATTCTGAAATCTGCCCAATGACTACTTTTGGTACTTTGAGTATATTTTGATGATACTTTTCTACATTTACTTGATTAACATTTTGAATGCAGGACTTTTACTTGTAACCGAATTTTCCTACACTCTGGTACTTCTACTTTTACTGAAGTACAAGATCTGAGTACTTCTCCCACCTTTTGAAGTCAGCGCTGGAAGGATGGATGGATGGAGGGCGGGGGCTTTAGGTCGCGCTTGGTGACGTCAGAGGATGAGATGTGTGAGTGCGCTTGGAGATTAGCTGGTAGTTTCACCCGCAGACCAGAAACAGGGAGGGTTTCCTGGCAGAGGGGGGCATGAGGATGCTCATCGCCCCGCTGCAGTCGGGGGAGTTTGTGGAAGGTCTGAATCAGCAGCTCTGGTCCTAGACCGCTTCCTGACCCGAGGGTTTCTGCAGAGAGAGAGAGGCACCCTGCAGCAGCCTGAGCGTTATGAACTGTGCATGGCTGAATGAGCACTGGCTCTGCAGGTATCTCTGTTTGTTGCTGGTTGGACAGACATGGCTTCTTCTTTGCTTTTAATGCAAACAAATGAATATTATTTGGAAGGATTCTTCTTAAGTGGGAGTTTGTTCTGTGGAGATAAAGACCAGATTTGAAGTATGCTGAGGATGAATTAATTAAGTAGCCTATATGAACCAGTAAAAGTATTCTTAGCAATATGTACTTAAAAAATCAAACATACTCACCATGCGAAAACATGTTAGTGCTAGGCTATATGATAGCATTTTACATAGCGCTTTCTTTTATATTTTGTTGATGGCTTTGTACTTGGTTAGAGTTATTTTGAACTACTTTACCTATTTGTCCAGGGTGACCAAACTGAGGGTTAAGCCCCTTAAAATGATAAAAAAAAAGGGACAAAAAATACAATGTAAGAAGTTGAATGTCCTCTTTGGCCTCAAACTGATGTTATAAATAATTAAATACTACTTTTCTCAAGGGCCTTACAAAAGCAAAGGTTGGCGACTATTTGTTTTCTCGTATAATTTATATAATTTCATATGTATAAAATGTCAATGTAAAACGCCCCTAGTCACTTAAGCTGACAAATACAAACATTTAGTGCAACATGCCTATCTAGTATAATGCAGTGTAATAGAGTGAGACGGAATTACCCAAGTAAAGAATCATTACCCCAAAATTGAACTTAAGTACAAACCTTGAGTAAATGTAGCTACTTAGTGACTTTCCGCACTGGAGGTCAGGCAAAAGAAAAGAAAAATACAGACAGTATAAAAGTAAACAGTGCCATAATGTAGGTCACCCAAACAAGGTCTCATGTTGAGTTGCAGGCAGCTGTCCCGCCGCTTCCTGCCTGGCACGGAGCAGGAGTGCCGAGCTGGACGGTGGCTCCCGCCCGGCAACACTGGAGAGTTCAGCATTAAAATGGCTGACAGACAGAGAAAGAGGACTAGAGGTTCACATGGCTGCCAAACGTCTCCTCTGCGTTCATGTCCCCGACCTGTAAGACACGACGGAGAGCAGATGCTTGGCAGGCAAACTGATAGCACCTCCAAACAGACATCCAGATGTGTGTCTAACTTAATGAGGAGTTTGATTCACTTCCCCTCAATATCACTGATCCTCTGTCTATATTGTCGAACGTAATGATTAAGCAACAATCTTTATGAGACACAGAGGAATTTTTGTGGCATTGTTAACCTAACAGTTTACTAATACTTACCTTCCTGGAAATAAATACAGAATGCAATTTTGTTATTGTTATACTGAGTATTGAGACATTAAATTGCTACACTGCTAATTTATTAATCCCCAAAGCATCCGTTCCCAGTCTGACAGTCAAGTCTGTTCAGTTTCATCAAAGTCATCTTAAATGTGTGAGATGATTACCAGAACGGGAAAGAAAGAAACAGCTGCTCCAAATTAAATTCAGGTTTCATCTTAACAGTAATAGACACCGGGTTTAGTCACCTTTCAGCTTCAGCAAATATGGAGGGTAGACTTATAAATACATTACTCACAATGTGAGTAGCTCTTTCTGGGTCATTTCTCTAAAAACTCTTTAAATGAATTACAATCTCAGAACGGTTCCAGGAAACTGTGAAGTAACGCATCACTGGCTCAGTTTTGTGAAACTTTATCCAACACCAACAAACAACATGATCATTATTTTGGAGGTCAGAGACGGGTCTGCAGAAGCAGCTCGAAATGAATTCAATGTTTTTGTCAAAGACACTTAAAGAAATTGAACTCATGCTTCCCAGATCTGTTGTAAACTATCCTTAAAACAGTTGTGGTTTCTAAAAATACTCATGTTTATTTTCTCTATTTGGTAATAATGTTATTCTAGTTTATTTCAGCAGCATCTACGCCTCCATCCAGGGAAGCAGTGAAAGTTTAAAGACGGATTAGTCGTAACGGTTATTGTGCGTGAGAGAGATCAACGCAGACAAATGGAAACACCAGAGGGGTAGTTCGTCCAGTCGAAGGAGGAAAGTGGATGAACAGATGTGAGTATAAAAAAAATAATAAAAAGGCGGGGTCGGTCAGGTTAGTACAGTAGATTCAAGAAGTCAACACTTCTTGCAGCAGTGATGTAGAAGTGTACTTCAGGGCGTGTCAGTACACTGTGACATCAAAGTTTAACGCTTGCTAGTGCTCTTTAGCCTCCTGGTTAAGAGCTTGAAGAGTCCTCTCCTGCTGATGTTCAGGTGTATATCAGTATGTAGTGTCTCTACTTTAAAGAGTCCTCTCCTGCTGATGTTCAGGTGTATATCAGTATGTAGTGTCTCTACTTTAAAGAGTCCTCTCCTGCTGATGTTCAGGTATTCTCTCTCTTTTCACCCTCTGTCTGAAACCAGAGCCCAGTCTGCTCTGATTGGTTAGCTGGCCGGCTCTGTTGTGATTGGTCAACCAAACCTTACCCCTTTCATACCAACGCTGTTCCAGGGCCGGTTCGGAGCTGGAGCTTGCACCGCATACTTCACGCTTACGTCGGAGGCGGGGGCCTCTCCTGCTGATGTTCAGGTTTCATATCAGTATGTAGTGTCTCTACTGGGACATTTTTGTCATACTGCCTGTGCTGCAGCACCTCTTTTCACCCTCTGTCTGAAACCAGAGCCCAGTCAGTATGACAAAAATGTCCCAGTAGAGACACTACATACTGATATGAAACCNCACCTGTGCAATAATCATGCTGTCTAATCAGCATCTTGATATGCCACACCTGCGAGGTGGGATGGATTATCTCGGCAAAGGAGATTTTTTCAGATTTGTGAACAATATTTGAGAGAAATGGTTATTTTGTGTATGTAGAAAATGTTTTAGATCTTTGAGTTCATCTCATGAAAAAAGGGAGCAAAAACAAAAGTGTTGCGTTTATATTTTTGTTCAGTGTAAGTTGCAAACAGATGGATGTTATGGATGTTGTTTCAAAAGTTCAGGTGTTTAACAGTCTTATGGTGGTTTTAGTCCTGATGCTGCAGAAGAGCACACAGTGAATGATATATCATTGTAGATATGTAAAACTTAATGGCATTGTTCTCTCTCTGAAGGTAATGATGTTTTCCTGGTGTCCGTCCATGAGCTGGGTCACGCTCTGGGTCTGGAGCACTCCAACGACCCCGCTGCCATCATGGCCCCCTTCTACCAGTGGTTTGAAACGGAAAACTTCCAGCTCCCGGACGACGACCGCAGAGGCGTCCAGGCAATCTACGGTGGGTTGGTCTCCTAAAGGAAATGGGAATGTATTAGATATATATGCAAAGATATTCCTCTTATACCATCCACAACCTTTTAGCTACCACTGTTCCTCTCATGCTTTGAGCTAAATGCTAACACACTAAAAATGACTTTGTTGACATGCTAATGTTTGCCAGGTATAATGTTTTTCTAACTTAATTTAAGATGTTGGCTTGCTAGAACTCAACACAAAAAGCAGCTGTGGCTTATGTCAAGAGCTTTGCAGGTATCTAGCTATAAATCTATTGGACACCCATTTCTGAAATGCTAAGGAAAAAAACACGCTGTAAACTTAGCCCAGATGCTAAACAAAAAAATGTGGGATACTATTCCGAGAAAGAAGACATTACATCAGGGTTCTTTTTTTTCTTCACATTGGCAGAAATGAGCTTCCATACAAATCAAAGGATTAAACATATTAAGATTAAGATTAAATCAAAACCCCAAAATTGAACCTCAAGGTTGCACTAAAGGAACAGTATTGGGATTACCTGAAGGATTCTGGGAACATTGAATGTCATGGCGATCCATTTAGTGTTGGAGATATTTAAGTCAGGACCATAGTGGTTCAGTTTTACAAGGGTCAGCATAGTGTTGGTACATAAATCCATTAATATTATGTTATTCATCATTTCCCACAGGAAGCAAATCTGGTGGTCCCCCTCCCCCCCCTCCCCCTCCTCGGCCCACAAAGTCGTACGTGCCCGATAACGGCCCAGATGTGTGTGAGGGACACTTTGACACCATCGCTATCCTCAGAGGGGAGAAGTTTGTATTTAAGGTACAAAAGACACCTTTTTTTCGGAGCAATACAATTATTTTAAAGACCACATTCTATCCTTTGTTTCCCTTTGACTTGTGCAAGTGTCCTACCTACTACTTTCTACTTGTTCTAACCTATGTGTGTGTGTTTGCAGGACAAGTGGTTCTGGCGTGTGCGCAACAACAAGGTGTTGGCAGGTTATCCGATGGCCATCAATCACTTCTGGAAGGGCCTGCCTTCAAACATCAACGCCGCCTACGAGAGGGATGATGGGAAATTTATCTTCTTCAAGGGTAGGTCCCATCATATTGAAACCAGATTCGAGACGATACAGTCCCCGAAGTTGCTCCAGTGATTACATTCATGTGTTAACTATTATGACTTCTTTCATGTTCGTTTCTTATGATCTTCCTTTTCTGCTTTCTGTCTCCCCTTCTTCTCATCTTGCTGTTTTTCTTTCTCCAGGAGACAGGTACTGGGTTTTCAGTGAGTCCACCATGGATAAGGATTCCCCCAAGAGCCTGAAAGATATGGGCCCTGGTCTACCCAAAGATAGAATTGATGCTGCTCTGTACTACACACCCACAGGACAGACGTACTTCTTCAGAGGCAATAAGTGAGTCTGACTAGGAGTACTTTCCGTCAGCCTCTGTGGGAGCATTCCTGCAGTACTCGTGCAAAGATGTCATCTCTTTCCCTTTTGTAGCGTTTAAGTGACCTGTTCTGACTTGTATCAAACTTATCTGTGAATTTGTAAGGAAGATAGCATCCCCCATGGCAGTTCTCTGACTCACTTTTCCTGTCTTTTGTTCAGTTGCATAATACGTTACAAAATAAATAACATGTTTTCTTATGTTCTTTAAAGAGTTTGAGTCTCAGAATCCACCTAGAAGTTACGTGTAGTCCAACCCTAACCCTTTTGTTCCCCCTAGTGCTAGAGATGTTTTCTAATACTGTAGATATTTAATAGTTTTTTGTCATTTGCAGGTACTACCGTTTCAACGAGAAGACTCGCACCGTGGACAGCGGTTATCCAAAGCCCGTCAGCATGTGGAGCGGTGCGCCGGAAAACATTAAGGCTGCCATCATGAGCGAAGACGGATGTAAGTTTTCCCTTATTTGTGTCTATAATCGAACATAGTTAGAGGTGCAACAATGAGTAAAATACACACATACAATTGTTGATGAATGGGAAAATAATTGGTAGCTTCTTAGACAATCGATTAATCATGAGCAAGGAACAATGGCGGACAATTTCTCGGTTCCAGCTTCTTAAATTTGAGGATTTGCTACAATGTTTGTCTATGAGATAGTTAACTGAAAATCATAACAATTAACGACACGAATTGGCAGAGGAATTGATCATGAAAATTATAATTTGGTGATGAATCGTTGACGTACATGTAGCTGTTTTAGCCGAACTGCAATACTTTTTTTTTTGCTGTGTATTCAATAAAACCAACCCTCCAAAAACGTATCTCTTGGTCCATCCTCAGCTTACACTTACTTCTACAAAGCCAACAAGTACTGGAAGTTCAACAACCAGTACATGAAGGTGGAGTCCGGCTACCCCAAGTCCGTGCTCAGAGACTGGATGGGCTGCGAAAGCGAGGACCCCAAGAGAGGTCGGGAAGGGGAGGTGATCATCATCGAGGACGTGTCGCAGGGCGGCGCCGGGCCGGCAGCCGTGGTGATCCCGCTGCTCCTCCTGGTGCTGGTCGTGGTCACTCTGGGAGTGCTTCTGGTCTTCAGGAAGTACGGCACGCCTCGACGCCTCCTCTACTGCCAGAGATCTCTGCTGGACAAGGTGTAGAGGAAGTGAAAAGACAGACTGCCACAAAGGGACAGAAAGAGAGGGGGAGAGAACTGGAGAAAAGGCGGGATAGGAGAGGGACCATGTGTTAAGTTTTGGGTGGTTTGTATGTGCCACAAAAGAGAGGGAAAAAAGGCCCTAGAAACTGAAATCAGGAAAATGCGTATTTGTATGTTAACTATTCACATGTACTGTTCAGAGATCATTACCCACAGTCTCACATAGAGACACAGAGACTCATCAAAGACTTCTCTCCATCCTCTCCTGTCTCACATCACAGGTATATAAAAAAAAAAACATCCCTCCTTCCTTCCTCTCCTTTAACTGGACGACTCCAGCTGAACTGCTGTCTGACTCATTTACTCAGAAATTCATCATCTCTGTCACGAGTTTGTGCTCAAAAACATATATTTGTGGTTGGGTTTTTTTTGAGGAAGCTTTACTCAGAAATTCATTCATTACAACGTCACATTTCCAATGTTTTTGCTAAGTTTGGATATTTGGCTGAGCAGTATTTCCGGTATTTCTTAGGTTTATTTTCTACCACTAATTAGGGCTGGGTATCAAACCTCAGATTTCTACCTAAACATTTTTTACTGCACGTAGTATTAAAAGTTCCACATTTAAAGACTATTATTTCCTTTACCGTCGACAAAAAGATTTACGAAAATAAGCTCATTTTTCTCACACTTAAGGTACTGACGTTTTCAAAAACAACACCTTTTAAAAAGATACTCAGCCCTACTACTAAAGGAATAATCTCCCGTTCAAACGCAAAAAGTTGACCACGTTTCAGGTTGGATGTAGCTCAGTGTATAGCATGTACTTTATGCACAGTGTTAGTGTTGATTGATGCAGATTTTGAACATGCACAGATAGGATTTAAGATTTGTTTATCCGGGATAATGTCCGCGAAAGTCCGACTTAACATGCTGGAGGCGATTTCCCCTTGAGGTGCAGATTGAAAAGATTGACGGTACAACTAAAATCCTTTATTACGGGCTTTAATCTCAACTTGATTCAGTGCAAGCAGTCAGACGGGAGAAATATTTTCTAATACAACGTGATGTTTTAACTCACGAATGACAGTTTTTCTAACATTCCAGTACATTTGTTTTAGGTGCAGAGCTGCTCGTCCAAATGTGTCAGTAAGCGGTGCACTTCCCAACAATATGGTGCAATTTTTTTAATTATTATCGTTGTTATGGGAAATTGTTGTTATTATAAGTATGGTTATTGTTATTATTGTTCTCCTGGTAAAGTTATAATGATTTTTTCTTGTCTTTTATACATTGTCATTTGGAGTCCTGCTGGACAGAGGCGTAACGTGACAATGGTGGAAATATTTCCCAGTTTACACTCAGCATGTGATGAATTAAAATCCAATCGGGGGGGAATGTGACTTCAAGGTGTTTCCTTTTACTCCGAAACACCTGGAATCACAGAGATGTTGGCACACAATAACAAGCAATGCTATTTATGTACTTTGACAGTGCTCAATGTTTTTTTTTGTTTTTTTACACAAATCAAAATTGAAGGTGATTTAATTTAGTTAATAACAATGATAATGGTAATGATATTTATAATGATGATCATATCAATAAAGTTGAATGAGATTTTTTTTTCCTGCCTGTTTTCACTTTTGTATTTCATCAGATAAAGGGAAATTAAAAACAATTCTACAATCTGGTACAATCCATGCTTTCATATTCTGTTCACACTCTCAAACACAAGCAGGCCATTTAAGTAGCAGGCCTATTGTGCTTGTCTGGGTCTTCCCTTTCCTGTAGTGTGTTATATATATAGCTTTGTGTGCATGTAAATGGTCTGCAAAGGCTAAAATCCCTGTGTTTCCTCCAGAGGGAATTTCTCTCACCGTCCAAAAAAATACAAATATGAACCTGAAAACCAAAAATGTTTTATTAAACAGTTCAGGGAGAACTCAGTAAGTGAGAAAAGTCTCCTTCAACGATGTTGTGAGTGCCTCTTAAAGCCTCAGAAACAAACCCAGGAAATACAAAATGGCCAAGCAGAAAACATGTTTGTTTACTTCAATCTTGAAAAGTTGACATTTTGAAAGTGTTTTGCTTTTAGCAGGGTCGTTATGTATTCTCTGGATTCAGGCCCTTCGGAAAACACTCCACTTGTATCACTCTTCCGTGCTACATGCTAAAAACATTAACTGGACTATGTTGTAATCTTCAACATGTACTACTTGGCTACTTGGCAGAAAACCCAGAAACACATTACCAATTTGCGCTTAGAAGGACATTTGCAAGCTCATCCATTTATTACCAAAATGTTTCTTAGTTTGAGATTAAAGTGTTTGGATGACATGGTTTGTTTGGGATAATTACATCCAGTTTCAGTCTGAGCTGTTGCCAAATTAACATCTGCTATGGTTGCCTTTTTTTCAGTTGGGAGTATTCCTCTTATCCCCTCATGAACTGCTCCACTGACAACATTGTCAAAACACGATGGAACTGATTATTGAGTACTTCTTCACCATCTAATCATCGCCTGATTTCCATTTGAAGATGTATATGAACGGAAATGATCCATCAATTTAAACAGCTGACCTTATATGATATTCCTCAGTAAACAAACAGTGATGTGTTCAACAAAAAACTAAAATGTCAGTCTAAAGACAGCCACGACAGCGCTGTGTTTTGGAGCCAGCAGTCATGTGTCGAGGAACGAGTCGGAAAAAGTGATGGAACTGTCACATTTTTTCAGAAAAACGCGTTCCAACTGAACATCTGGTATTCTTGAAACATCTGAACGTTCGGGCCAAGCCCAGCTGCGTGTGTGTGTGTGTGTGTGTGTTCAACACACAAAAACCTCTTTAAGTTAATTATTAAAACGTGAGAGGAAAAAGTATGTGAAAGACAAAGAGAGAAAAGGAAGAAAGAAGGGAGAAAGGCAATTAAACAGAAATGATTTGGGGTGGGGGGTTTCTTTTCCCTCAATTCTATCAACCTCCCTCTCTCTTATTCCCTCACCCGCTGCAAAATTGCTCTCTTTATGAGGCTTCAGTCTCGAACCACTCCTCCCCTCACCACAAGTATCTCTCGTCTGTTTTTCTCTTTCTTTCCTCCCCCATTCGACCCCTCTATCCTCATGCCTTTCCGTTTAACTCTTCACATACTGTCAGAGTAGCGGTAAACAACAGCATCCTGGGTGAACCTCAAGATAACGGCAAACAACAATAATAGAAATAACATTTCTCTAAATATGGTCGGCATGAATATACTGTGGTTAACACTTTCCGGAACATATGGCCTTTGCCTTTTGGCACTTTAACCGTTTAAACTCCTGCTTTGTGTTACATGATTGGTGCATTAAGAACACAGGTTTAATTTAGTTTGTATTAAAGGGGTCCTTGTAAAATGTCTTCAAAGGCTTAAATCCCAAGGTTCATTGCAGAGGGAGTATCTCTCTCACACACTGCCTGAAACGCCTCTATTGGACTCCTTTGACATCACTATGTAACACTCACACTTCTATTGGCTAACGCTCCAACACATTGAACGTGATAGGCTAAGGGGCGGGATATCTCTAATACCCCTTTCACACCAAGGCTTTTCCCATTCTAGCTCCGTGCTAGAGCTTTTCAGGTTCGGAACCGGTTCTTCGGTTCAGCTCCCGCTCTGTTCACACGGTGCTGCATCATCGTTTGCGTGCCTGCTTCATAAAGCCAAACCGCGCGGAAACCCCTCACATCGACAACAATGGCCAATTGTATTGAAGCGCTACTCGTTTTGGTTTTGCTCTGTCGAAACGAAATGGAAGAAATGGGACAACTTTACCAACTTTACAGTCGTTTACATGTTTACATGCTACATTCAAAAGTTCTTTACAATCATCATCATCAACTTCAACGACGATTCCGTAGGAGAAAGAAGGTAAATATACGTCCTATTCGATGGCGTTAGAGCTAGCTGTTGTTAGCCTCTGCATACGCCAAGCTCAAAATACCCAGCTTTGCAGCATAATTATTATGGTATAACATTAAAACTCATGCCCCTGCCCCCGCCTCCGACGTAAGCGTGAAGTATGCGGTGCAAGCTCCAGCTCCGAACCGGCCCTGGAACCGCGTTGGTGTGAAAGGGGTACTATTCACATAAGCAGCTTGANTCGAGCGTTCATTGTAACAGTAGCGGGTGTACTGTGTGTTTGCGTGTGGGGAGTGTTGCAGTAGAACATTCCACTGTAGCGCCCCTGGTGCTCGCGCTTTTGTGCATGCTCTATAGTGCCCGTAATAGTGTTCACTGGAGTCCAGCACCTCAGCACCCCCACTCAAAATACCTTCCCGCGCCTCTGGACCGATGCGGTGCTTCCTTGAGCGTCAAATATCGCCGCCGATGGGAATACATTGCAATCAGTTGAAAGCTCTTTGCGTCCGTTTATGAAGCTGAAGGAGACTCGGTGCGTCACAACTGCACGCCAAAGGACCCTGACCATGCGTCGCTATTGGACTATCAGGGAGTGAGACTGTGTTGGCGATACACACTAATCGGCCCTCCGGAAGTAGTTTTGAGGACACTGATTGGCTACATTTTATGACACACGTTCATATCTTGAATCAGCAATTGGCTAACCTGCTACAGAGACCAGCCTCTGTTGGGTGATTTCTCCATCACCCCAGTACAGTACTTCAGTCATACAGTGTAGGCCTACTAGGAAAAGCATATATTTTGCGCAAATTATTTTACAAAAAAAATTGATTATTCTAACAAAGAATTGTTATGTTTACCAGTAACTTATTAATTAATAAGAAGGTTGAGAAGTGTGCGTCCTTGAAGGTTAGACAACACCTGGCATACTGTAACTGGAAATGGGGACCAGCACCCCATCTGCAATCCAAGGATTCCATTCCAAATGTCTGACATTGAAGCAACATTCAACAACAGCACAACTGTGCTCAATGCCTGCTGTTTCTTCAGAACAAATCTTATACTCAGCCCGTGCCTTGCTTCTAAGGAGTTTTATTTGTACAACTCCCCAAACTGCTAATTTGAGCTTCCAACAATGCCATTGGTCAAGGTCTGGATTGAATGACCTCTATTGAACTACTTGGTTAATGTCTTGACCCCCATTCCTTAGTGACTAAAGTATTCTCTCTAGAATATCTTTGAGGGCAATGATCACCAGAATCACCAGTGAGTTGCTCATAAGCAGTACAGCAAACATCTAACTATTGCTTTCTGCAGCTGCTTCTATGGCTCATGTTTTCACAATGACCCTTTCCAATGTCATGTTTTTGGTCTGCGGTGAACCAAGGATAAGCATTGAGTTGTCAGCAACTGCCTTAGTTCAACTAGTAGATGCAAAAATAATGGAATACACTGTACTGCTCTCTCCAGTTTACAACCCAAACAATGAGAAGGGTTACCTTGAAGATTATTCAAAAGTCATATCATATAAGAAATCAGTGCATTGGCAGTCAATATCAATATCAGAAAGTCCAAATGCCTTTGTTGAGAAGTGTGATTTTGTGTTAGTGTTGAAGACAGAAACATATCAAACTAATCCAACTCCTCGAGATGGAGCTTAGCACAAGAAAAAGACGTAGATAGGTGGATTGTATAGAGAACTGGCTAAACTGGTGGTGGTCTGAACAGGAGCCACCACATTAGGCTAATGACGGCTAATGCATTAGAGAAAAGGGTAGTCACTGCGGAGAGAAAGGGAACAGTTGTATATCCTAGCTAAACAAGAACAAGGGTCTAGGCTTGAATAAGGCATTGACCCGAGCATTTCGAAGCATCAAGCTGCAAAGAAGCCAAACTTACTGTGTGCAATTTTAAACATGTATTTCCCATAGGTTCTGATGAAGATTAAAAGAGAAAGGAAGACCTTTAACTAAAACGTTATAGTTAATTGTTGTAGCGTGATCCTTCGAACCAAAACATGAAAAAGGTCCGTGCTCACTGTTCTTTGTGTTTGTTATTTTAAATGTGACCTCAAAATAAGTCTATACAAGCAACATACCTCTTTGAAACGCCATGCTGTGCAGCACAAGAGATACATTAAAAATCCCATATTTAATCTCACTATCTATTTAAGTTATTATAGGTACAAATAGTAATTGCATGTTTATATCTTGTTATGTGATTCATTTTGAATTGGCCTTTTTTGTTTTTAGCCACTTTCAAACCCCCGATAAGCCTCTCAGACACAGGGATAATCTTTTTCGATCAGATGAAAAAACAAGCGCGAACAAGAAGACCTCACAGATAAAACCTAAACAAATCCAACAGAATTATATTTTAACATTGGTACATGTTGTGAGAGAGGGATCAAAAGAGAGCAATCTAATCCTTTAGGCGTTTTGGGCAGCTGTTCAACTCGGTTGTCTTTCTATTTCTTTTTCCTCTCTTTCTCTCGCTCTTTCTCTCTGTCTCTCTCTCTCTTTTCAAAGATATTAATGTGTGTGTGTGCATCTGTAAACATTATTTCCTGTGGACTGTGTTTTCACATTTACTATGTATTTTTCATAGGATTAACAATAAAAGCTATATCCTGTTTTTTTTTGGCGTGTTCTAGCCTTTACCAGAAAGTCAGGTGTGTGTAATGTGTTGAGGGGATGACTCACGTAAAGAGACTGCAGGCTGGATCA